AAAAACTCTCAAAACCAAAACATTTTCCCTCCCAAATCTCAAGAACAAGAACTTCAAAAGTCTCACTCTATCTCCAAAATTAAGTCAAACCCATTACTTCTCTCCTCATTTAACCACAAACCCACTTCTCCATTTCTCTAATCACTCCATAAAGATCAAAACTTTTCTCTACTCTACTTCCCAAAAAAACCAATCTTTAATATTCTTACCAAAAAAAAACACAAAACAGAGGAAGAAATGAAAATGAGTGATTATTGGACAACATTAGCTTCTCTAGTTGGCATGTTAGCCTTTTGTCAAACAATCCTCCAGCTCGTGTTCCCACCGGAGCTCCGTCTCACCGTCATCCACTTCTTGACACGTATCCGCCACGTGTTCTCATCTCACATCTACTTCGACATAACGGAGATTGACGGCGTCAACACAAACGAGCTCTACAACGCCGTTCAACTCTACCTCAGCTCTTCCGTCACCCTCAACGACGCCGTTTCCAGCAGCAACAACAACAACACACGTCTCAGCCTTACACGTGTCCCTAACTCAAGCTCCGTCACTTTCGGTCTCTCAAACAACGACAGAATCACCGACGTCTTTAACGGCGTCACCGTTCTCTGGGAACACGTCGTTGTTCAACGTCAAGTCCAAAGCTTTTCGTGGAGACCAATGCCGGAAGAGAAACGAGGGTTTACGTTACAGATCAACAAAAGAGACAAAACCCTTGTCTTAGATTCATACCTCGATTACATTGTCGGAAAATCCGAGGAGATTCGCCGGAGAAACGAGGAGAGGCTACTCTACACGAATTCGAGAGGTGTCTCGCTAGATTCGAGAAGCCATCCATGGGATTCGGTTAGATTCAAGCATCCAAGCACGTTCGAGACACTAGCTATGGATCCAGTGAAGAAGAAAAGAATCATGGAGGATCTAAGAGAGTTCGCGAACGGACAAGGGTTTTATCAGAAGACTGGTCGGGCTTGGAAAAGAGGGTACTTGTTGTACGGACCACCAGGAACTGGTAAATCGAGTTTGATCGCTGCAATGGCGAATTTCTTAGGTTACGATATCTACGATCTTGAGCTCACTGAGGTTCAGAACAACTCTGAGTTGAGGAAACTGTTGATGAAGACTAGCTCGAAGTCGTTAATTGTTATCGAGGACATTGATTGTTCGATCAATTTCACGAAAAGAGGAAAATTTAAGAAGAAGAGTGGAAGTTATGACCCGGATTTGACAAACGGGTCGGGTTTGGACGAACCGGGAAGCTCTGTGACACTCTCGGGGTTGTTGAATTTTACTGATGGGCTTTGGTCTTGTTGTGGAAGTGAGAGGATCTTTGTGTTTACGACGAATCATATAGAGAAGTTGGACTCTGCTTTGTTGAGAAGTGGGAGGATGGATATGCATATTCACATGGGTTTTTGTGGGTTTCAAGCGTTGAAGATTCTGTTGAAGAATTATCTGAGGATTGAGGAAGATGAAATCGATGGTGATGTTTTGAAGGAGATGGAGGAATATGTGGAGGAAGCTGAGATTACTCCGGCTGATGTTAGTGAAGTGTTGATTAGGAATCGTAGCGATTCGGAGAAAGCGGTTAGGGAGATTTTGAGTGTGTTGAAGGAGAGAGTTGT